TCTCGCCCTCACCTCACCCCCCGAAGCACACACATAATGTGCCCATTGTATATATTGCATGCACACCCATGCAGGCCCGTTGGTGCTCTCTTTTGCACGACACGCACCGCTGCCGTCCTGCCTGGCTGCATGGGCGGAGCACCGTAACTGTTTCTGTTTTGTTTTTATTGCATTGAGTGGGCGACCTCTCTCTCTCTCCCTGTGTGTGTGTTTTGCTTTACGAGAGCAATGAGAGTGTTTGCGCTGGTCGTCCCACGCTTCGGCTTTTTGTTTTGTTTTTCATTGTTTTGTGGTTGAGAGCACCCATTCCGCGGGCTGCGTGTGTGTGTGTGTGTGTGTGTGTGTGTGTGTGTGTGTGTGTGTGTGTGTGTGTGTGATGATATGAGTAATTTGAATGTGTGCTATCCGCTTTTCTCTGCCGTTGCTTTCTTTGGACTCTCTTGTGGCGCACAGCTGCTCTGCAACTATAGGCGCTGCCAAACACACACACACGCCATGTCACACACTTTATGGAGCGGCGTGAACGCTGAGGACGCACGCACACGATTTTTATGTGGCCCTTGTGAGGAGGGATGACGGAGAACGCGATTTGTTTTATTTCCGTGCTAAGGGTATGATTTTCTTGTCGTGCAGCAGTTGACTAACGTGGTGTGGCATTGTGGATGCCTGGGATAAGTGAGCATGGATTTTTGCCCAGCAGCTACACGTGCCGACGTGTTCCTCCCGCAGTTCATACAGCGACGGAGGATTCTCCGGCTGTGCGGGGCGATGTGCGGTGGATGTTGCGGGGAGAGACAACAGTAAAACGACTGACGGCAGCGTGTGTGGGCTTTGAAGATTTGCTGACGCGTGAAGAACAACAACATACCCGCAGTGGCAGTCGCTGTGTGTTCTTGGTGCACTGTTCTTCCGTCTCTTTCCGTGTGTCTGTGTGCGTGAGTTGTTTTTGTTGGGAGTGACTGCGGCGGGGATGATGGTGCCACTCACTGTGGAGGGGCGGCCGTGCTCACTGTTTCACTCCTTTTCTCTCTTCTCTCTCTTTCTCACACACAAAGAAGGAAAGGAAGTAAGGCTAAACGCTAATCG